ATTGGAAAAAAGATAGTCTGTTTAGCAAAGGGTGCTGGAAGAACTGGACAGCAACATGTAGAAAAATGAAACTAGACCACTGTCTTACACCGTACACAAAAAATAGACTCAATATGGATGAAAGACATAAATGTGAGAAGGGAAACCATCAAAACCCTAGAGGAGAAAGCAGGAAAAATACACTTTGACCTCAGTCGCAACAATTTCTTACTTGACACATCTCTAAAGGCAAGGGAATTATAAGCAAAAACGAACTGTTGGTACCTCATCAAGATAAAATCTTCTGCCCTGCAAAGGAAACAATCAACAAAGCTAAAAGGCAACTGCCGGAATTGGAAAAGATACTTGCAAATAACATATCAGATAAAGGGCTAGTATCCAAAATCTATAAAGAACTTACCAAACTCCATACCCGAAAAACAAGTAATCCAGTGAAGAAATGGGTATAAGACATGAATAGACACTTTTCCAAAGAACACATCCAGATAAGACACATGAAACAATGCTCAACGTTACTCATCATTAGGGAAATATAAATCAAAGCCACACTGAGATTCCACCTCACACCGGTCAGAGTGGCTAAAATGAACAAATCAGGAGACTATAGATGCTGGCGAGGATGTGGAGAAACGGGAACCCTCTTGCACTGTTGGTGGGAATGCAAACTGGTGCAGCCGCTCTGGATAATGGTGTGGAGGTTCCTCAAAAAACTAAAAACAGAACTACCCTATGGCCCAGCAATAGTACTGCTAGGAATTTACCCAAGGGATACAGGAGTGCTGATGCATAGGGGCACATGTACCCCTATGTTTATAGCAGCACTTTCAACAATAGCCAAATTATGGAAAGCGCCCAAACGTCCATCAACTGATGAACGGATAAAAAAGATGTGGTTTATATATACAAGGGAATACTATTTGGCAATGAGAAAGAATGAAATCTGGCCATTTGCAGCAACCTGGATGGAACTGGAAAGTATTATGCTAAGTGAAATAAGTCAGTCAGAGAAAAACAGATATCATATGTTTTCACTGATATGTGGATCTTGAGAAACTTAACAGAAGACCATGGGGGAAGGGAAGAGAAGGAAAAAAATATAGTTTCAAACAGAGAGGGAGAAAAACCGTAAGAGACTCTTAAATACAGAGAACAAACTGTGGGTTGATGGGGATTGGGTGAGAGGGGAAAGTGGGTGATGGGTGTTGAGTAGGGCACTTGTTGGGATGAGCACTGGGTGTTGTATGTAAGCCAATTTCACAAAAAAATTATATTAAAAAAATGGGTGAATCTGTGCATTTGCTAGCGTTTACATTGTCTTCTACTTTTCAACATAAGAATACATCTGTAAAGTACTAAATAAAAGAAACAAAATAGGATTAAATTATAGTAATTTACATTCTGCAAGTGTGCACTAACTTTATTTTCATGATAGTCAACCCAAGGATATATGCTAATTATAATGCACTAATCATTTTACCTAAGGAAATGAAGCTGTTAAAATATTCAAAACGGCTAAAAAAGAGTTTCATTTACGCTGAGTTTTTACCAGGAGAAATTTGACAGAAGAACGTGTTCTGGGCAATCAATCATGGTTGTCTACAATGGTATTAATCACCTCGTGGGCTAGGATGTTTGTCTTTTCATCATCTTTGAGGCTTAGATATTTTAAAACTTTCTGCCAAGATGCTTTTCATGTAAATGAACCATATGTTGGAAGTTTACAATGTTGCCAAGGTGTTGTTAAGACTTGTTCAAGGTAGAAAGTTTTGCTCATTATGCTTATATTTATTACTGTAGAAAATACATTAGAACTAAGTCCTTAATAGGACAGTCCAAACGTTCAAAGTTCAGAAAATGAAAATTGCATCGGTCCCTATATATTTGTCGCTATAGCTTCATTCTTACACATGGTTTATCAGCACACAGATATAACAAAAAATGATTTATTGGGATTTTTTTTCCTACTTCTTAGAGGAAATAAATATACCAAATGCATGCTATCTGTATTGGGTTTTCCTTCTGGGTAAGTCTGTCATCTATTCAATATTTGTAATTAGATAACTTGATATTATTGTTACTAATATCAAGTGACTTTTATCCATAAACTGGTTTTTAAATGTTTTATTATTCATTTAAATATTGAAATATTTTGATATGAATTGCAAAATAATATTAGGAATTCTTTTCTTAGAAAATAGTTTAATACCACCATTCAGTTCTAGTAACATCAGGCTCAAAAAGCAACCCATAACTAAAAATCATCAATTACTCATTCATATTTAGAAATGAGAGACTCTTTTGGCAATACGTAATTGATAACATAAAAGACATAGTTCAATTCATGATAAAGTCAATACAATTTAGAGAATTTTAAATAAATAATTATGAGGCAAAAAAAATACATAAAATATAATCTCTAAATATAATCTCTAAAAAAAGAATATACATATAAAACTTCAGAATGAGTGTTAGAATAGGGAAATGTTGGGTAACTGCAGGAGGATGAAGGCCAAGGAACAAGGAACTAACTTGACATCTGTTGAATAACAGAATGCTTATTGCCAGGAGAACTTACAAGGTTGCCCAACTGCTACAAGCATGCGCAATATTATCTCTCCACTTGGTAGGGGGCGCTACAGCACTCCCAGGGGATCTACCCTCAAGAGAAAAAGAGATGCGCTGGCACATAGTGACTGTCATAGAGCATATGTAGTAATATACAGAGTTCTTGGAAGTCCCCGCTTATTTCCAAATCCCTACATAAACATTCTACCGCTTGATTATAACTGACTATAAGAATCAGAATCCCATATCTACCCTGGGCAACTCAGATTCCCAGAGTGTGTCTGCACCTCTCCCTTCTCCTGAGTGTGTACTTTTGCATTTTTGCTTTCCAACAAAGCTTCTTCTGGTACTCTTTACCCTAAGTTGGCCTTAAATTCTTTCTTGTGGCACCTGGCACCTGCTGGTGGTTGAGGTCTCAGGGCCTGAAAACTCCCCCAGTCTCTGGAATCAATAAGAAGTCATTTGGTATAAAAACAAACGTTCATTACAAATTTGAATTTCATGATCTTTAACAGAATGGGGAGATAGCTAGATACAAAATTTTATCTCTATTTGTGTCTGTGTTCAGGAAGTATATTGGTATGTAAATTTTTTGCTTCAGATGTCTGAATCTGGTTTGGAATCAAAGTAATAATGGTTTCACAGAATGAGTTGACAAGTATTCGTTTCTATTCTGAATTCTGAAAGAGTTTTATAGTATTAATACAATCTTCTTTCTTAAATGTTGATAGAGCTAACCAGTGAACACATGTGGGGCTAGAATTTCCTTTGTGAGAAAAAATTTCAATTACAAGTATCATTTTTCTAATAAATGAAGTAATACAGGTTTTTATTCTTTTTTGTCAATTTTTATAATTTCCACCTACTAATTTATATTTGTCATCAGGTTGTTCTATTTATCAGTATAACATTGTTCTGCATATTCCCATATTAATTTCATAACATATACAGAATCAGCAGTTATGTCCCCTCTTTCATTTCTAATTTTGATAATATTTGTTGTCTCCCTTTTATCTTCATTAATTTATCCAGATATTTAGCAATTTTAAGTTTATTTATTTATTTTTGAGAGAGAGAGAGAGACAGCATGAACAGGGTAGAGGCAGAGAGGGAGAATCCCCAGCAGGTTCTGCACTGTTGGTGCAGAGCCCAACGTGGGGCTCGAACTCATGAAACCGTGAGATCATGACCTGACCCAAAATGGAGAGTCTGATGCTTAACTGACCGAGCCATCCAGGTGCTCTAAATGTTTAGCAATTTTAGATCTTTCTAAAGATTTGATGCCATTGATTTTCCCCATTGTTAATCTGCTATTTCATTTTCTATAACCTTTTGTTTGTTTATTTGTTTGTTTGTTTGTTTTTTGTATTATCCTTTTTTGGGTAAGACTTTGTCCATTATTTCTTCAAGTATTTTATGCTCCTCCCTCTTCTGGAACTTGTTATAAAATGTAGTGTTTGGAAGATGAGTGAACAGGAGGAATTCAAATAAAAACTCCTAGTTCTCTGACACTCATAACTAGGACGGGAAGAGTCAGGTTGCTATTAGAGTAATTTGGGGTAAATTAATAGTGTCTGACCTAAGGGAATTTCAGTGGGTGTAGAGAGCTGTGGTCAATGGAAAGTAAATTAGAAAAAGTGAATAATGACAATGAAGATTTTTGCTTTTGCAATTGTTTGATGTTATTGTGCTATTATATTTAGAGACAAACAGTGAATTTTGTGTCTTTATATCTTCTTAGTGAACTTCCCAGGGAGTAGAGTATACATGCTCAAACCTAAAAAGTATTTAAAAATGATGATGAAGTAGATCAAACAAAGGATCACTGAACTGCTGTGTGTCAGGCGGGTTGATAAACTTTGATCATAATTTTCCCTTTATTTCTGGACAATTTATCTCACATTAATCTCTTTTAATATTTGCTGTAAATCAGCTTGAGTATCATGCTTGTAATTACATGAAAATTTCTAATAATGAATAATATTTTGAGCATATGAGGTTTGCATAGTAAAAATCATAAGATGTTTTATGGAAATATAAAATCTTTTCTACTATGTAAATACAGTGAAGGAGGGCTAATGCTAACCTAAAGAAGATAAGCATAGACGTTATACATCTCGTGCTAAAATATTCCAAAGAATTTAATTTTGGGAACATTATTTGTCTCTTTTTCTTTGTTCGTTTTTTTCTAGGTTATCGTCTCACTCTATCTTTATCTCTTCTTCTTTCTGTGTCGTTTATATACTCAAACACACTTTTTAGCTTGAATAGATTTGTGAAGAATTTGTTTGTTTCCAGTGAGTTTATTGCTTGGAGAGAAGTTGAAATTTTGAAAAGGAAATGTAAACTTTTTCAGTCCAGCTTGACAGGTCTATTATATTTTAAATTTAAAAGAAATGATTCATAAGTTCCTCAGATTCATCGGAGTAGCCTACCTGTTTAGCAGAAACTCAGCTTCAGGGCATAAATTTGTTAGTGGGATTTTTCTCAGTGCAGGTATTACAGATGTTTCCGTTCATAGAGAAATTCTAAGGTGTGAAAACAATAGATGCAGCTTACTACTATTCTTATTGGTACTACCACCTAATAAAATAAGTAACATGTATTGTGAGCTTATTATACACTAAGGAATGTTTTAACTATTTTCATGTATTAACTCATTTAATTCTCACATGCACAATATGAAATAAATAACATACACATACCTGTTTTATACATGAAAAAAGTGAGGTGTCTGAAGTGTAACCAATATGCTGAAAGTTACACAGTAAGTGACAGTATTCAAGTTTGAACTCAGGCTCTTGTTTTCTAAAATTCAGTTTGTAAAGAAAAATTATGGTTAGTTATCCTCCAATGAGTAAATGCCATTATTAAAGTTTTAACTTTTTTAGCTTTAGTGGCTGCCTGAATTAATTGTAGCAGTATTTCTATGGATAACATTTGCTCTTTTGGGTTACTGCTATGCAACATGTATGCATTTTAAGGCAATTTCGGTAGAAATACTAATTAATATCAGTGTCAGTACTTAAAATTTCAATCCATATTTCTGATTACTGATATAAATGAAGTGCAATATTAAGGTTCACATAGATTATTTGAACATCTGACTTCTTGTATAACTGCTCATTGATGGGTGTATTTAGGATTTAGTTTGCTGATGATGTATATTTTATAAGGAAGCACTGTCTCATTTATAATGGCTAAATAACTGGCATTCCGTGGTTCATTAGTAAATAATTCAGTTTAAACACAATCCATTTGCTTTTTCCGTTAAATGGTTGCAATAAGCAAGTTGGGCCTACCACTTTACATCATATCTTCATTATATTAATTTTAATATCCTGTATAAAGACCATGAAGTATTTTCCTTAAATGAGGGACATAAAAATCACTGGTTCACCTTATTTAAAAAATTATTTAGACACACCTTTATAAATTCACATATTTAAGAGAATTAGATCCCAAGTAACAGAAGTCAAACATCTTTTCTTAAACACCTGAGCCATGGTGAGCATCAAAATGTCTACAGAGACTAAGTGATAAAAAAAATGACTTAACTGGTAGAGATCATCATGGTGTCTCAAGTACGGAATTATATTGGCAGCTTACTAAGCTACCAATATAGATTTTTACCAATCTACCAATACTAGATTTTTATAATCTACCAATATAAATTTTTACCAATCTACCAATACTAGATTTTTATAATTAAAAGTGAACAAATAAAACATAAAAAACACTGTCGATCTGTTGATCATCTTGTTTTCTTTATCTACAATAGAATGTTACTTGTTTCTCATTTTTCAGAACTAAACTGCTCTAAACCATAGCTAAGAAATACGTATTTTAGGTTTTTCTTCTCTCACTTCCAACAGGACTTCCAATTCATTGTCATGATGAATGGATGTTGTGGAAAGGGAAATAACCAGAATTTTCAGGAATTACTGATACTGTCTCCGAAGTGATACTAATCATTTGGACCCCAATATCCACTGTTTTGAAAACAAAAAGACTAAAATCAGTAAATGCTATGCTTGAAGACCCTTTAGTGCCCTCACTTCAGATTGTGACCTTTATTGGAATAGTGATTCTCATCAAGATCTATATATATGCCCTTCATGCTGTAAAGGGTAGTATGGGTGGAACTTTTGGAGGGAAAAAAACATATAAAATAGTTTATCCAATCAATTTTATAAGAAATATTTCCAGATAAAATATGAAAGGATAAGAGAGACATAGACAACCAGAAAAGAATAAAAAAATAAAATATTAAAATAAACTATTTTGCTTAATCAGTATATATAAATTCAAATTATTTGACCAAACTGGAAAATTTCCTGGAAAATGTTATTTAACAAAAATTTAGCAGATGAAATGGCCTGTGTGAGATTTATGCAAAAAGAAAAAAGAAGAATAGAGAAGATTGTGCAAAAGATTATTTAAAAAATAATAAAATGCATAAACCATTTCATAAAAGGATTCTCTTTAATAACAGCTCATGTAAATGTTATTTAAACTGTTCCAAAGAGTGAAAGAAAAAATAACTCATGTTTTTAAAGCAAGCACATTTTTAAAATCAAAACCTGAGAAATATTATTGAAATAGAGTTACAATCTTGATTATGAATATTGTAGTGACCTCTCAAAAGATACTTCTACCCAGAAACTGTGCATGTGACCTCATTTGGAAAAAAGACCTTTGCAGGTGTAATTCAGTTAAGGATCTTGATGTGAGATCATCTTGGATTACTTTAGTGGTCCCTAAATCCTTATGAGAGAAAGGAAGAGAAATATTTGAGACCCAGAGTTGAAGCACCACGGGAAGACAGATATAGAGATTACAGTGATGCAACCACAAGCCAAGGAATACCTCCCACCACCAGAAGCTGGAAGAGGCAAGGAATAGAATCTCTTCTAGAATTTTTGGAGGGAGTGTGACAAAGCCAAAATCTTTACTTCAGATTTTTACCCTCCTGAATTGTGAAAAAATAGAGTTCTGTAAAGTTATTGAATTTGTGGTAGGTTGTTATGAATATTGACATTGGTTTTCTGAATGAAATATTAACAGCAGAATTTATCATTTGATTAAAAAGATAATTCATCATAACTAAGTAGTTTTGTTATATAAATGCAAAGATGGTTAAATCTTTGTTGATTACGGTAACAATCTTATAAGGTAGGTTCATATTATTCCTATTTTATAAAAGAAAACTGAAAGAAATAAAGGAAAGCAAGGGTTAGCTTCACAATGCTTGTGTAGCCAGTAGATGGTGAAGTTGAATTTTGAATCCAACATGGCTGGTTTCAAAGTCCTTGTAATCTAACGCTATGGTATCATCTCCAGAGATCCTGAAATGAATTACCAAATTCATTACTGAATTACCAAATTCAGTAATCAATCTTGCATAAAACACTTGATTTATCATGATCAGATACATAGTTACTTAATTTGAGAAAATATATCGGGGCGCCTGGGTGGCGCAGTCGGTTAAGCGTCCGACTTCAGCCAGGTCACGATCTCGCGGTCCGGGAGTTCGAGCCCCGTGTCGGGCTCTGGGCTGATGGCTCAGAGCCTGGAGCCTGTTTCTGATTCTGTGTCTCCCTCTCTCTCTGCCCCTCCCCCATTCATGCTCTGTCTCTCTCTGTCCCCAAAATAAATAAACGTTGAAAAAAAAATTAAAAAAAAAAATATATCAACTTCAACCCCCAAACCAGGATAATCCTAAAAATGCAAGTACGAAAGTCATTCCTATTATAGTTGGAGTAAACAAGGACAACCAGTATTTCTGACATTAACACATTATCATTATAGTGGATGCACACACCAAACAATAAGGTGAGATAAAGATAAAGAAATGTAAGATACAAAAATTTTCTGATATAGGTATCAGAAATATACATAAATATGTTTGAGCCTAATTCCCATTTTTATTCTCACCCTTACCAGATAAAATCAGTGCAAGAACATTGCTCACTGCAGAGTGTCTGTGCTGTTGTCATTACATAAGTAAGATGAGCCATGAACGTAGTTTTAGAGCGTAAGTATGACTAAATGGATTATATAATATAAATGAGATTATACTGTCCAGGCCCCTGTCCTGGTTGCCATGGAAATGAGACCCTTTCTTCATGTTAATAAAATGATAGTTAAAATAGAAACATAAGGATGAGTAAAGAACATTCAGGGGTAAAACAATAAATTATTTAATTCCACCTTAGGGAAAAAGAACTGGGGACACATGTAGAGGTTTTACATAGCAGAATAAAGATTAAATCAGAGGAAAATATTGGACTGTGAATAAAAGAGTTAAATAAAAGACGAAAAATAAATCATCTAGTCATTTGAGTCAGAATGCTCTGGAGTGCTGTGGATTCTGCAAACCTATCACAGAGCCACCGACTTTGGTTGTGGTGAGTAGGCATAATATGCATGTATGGGTACACATTACCTTATGTGCCCTGAGTAATACCATTACAAAGTGGAAGGAAACAGAGAGCAAAAAAGCAGATGAGAAAAACGTGTTACCTGCTCACATTACTTACTTATCCACTGATAGTAGGAAGTAAACAGACACATCAATTATTCTCTTAAAGTTAGTCCCAGCTGTAGTTTAGACCATGCTGGCAAGATATAGTCACTTGTAGTAGCTTACCCCAGGCTACTAGTTTTGCCAAGTTGTTGGGTTGTGCATATTTCATAGCACATATGAAAGGATTATTTATTTTATTTTTTTTTTTATTTACTAATTAGGGATACTTGAAAGGAATCCTGGATTTTATATACAGTATTTCCTTATTTGTATAATTATTTAATTATAATAACTCACACTTTCATGATGTATTAAAAACAAATGTATTGATATTCTTAAACCTATGGGGGTGTAAAATATCCTTAAGCCTATGGGGGTTAATTTGTTCATATATGCTAGCATTACATTATGTTTATTCTTATTTATAATATAAATTAAGGTATCTTAGATTTTGTACTAGTCGCTCTTCAACTAGTAGAAGCTGCTGTTCACATATAAGGGAAACGTTTAGATAAAAGCAGTAAATAAATGACAATTGTCACTGGCACAATCTTTGGAAAATAAAATCCAAAGTATACGTAATTACATATAAATAAACAAATGAGGGAATACATTAATTTTACCATAGAAAAGCAAATGCTGTTTTATGGAAGACAGTGCAGTAGAATAATTGGATTGACTTATCAGTTCATTCAAAAACCATTTGCTTGGTGTCTTCTCTGTGCTCAGACTGAGGTAAGTGCTGGAAATACAATCTTACATAAACACATGTCCTTAGAGAGAAAAATACAAAACTAAACAAACAATTATAATCAGCTGAATATATACAATGATAAGATACATTCAGGGTGCTACAGGGAGTGTCTAGCATTGGAGGAGGTTTCTCTTCAATGAATATGGAGAAAGCATTTGAGGCATAATTCCTAAAATTATGGTAAATACACTGGCACTTCTCATAGCAGTATGGAATGTATACATGTTTGAAATAGATGCCTCATAATATATTTTCAGAAAGATTATTGTGTATGAAGTGTTCATGATGGGCAGAAGATGAACAGGGCTCGTGGCTGAGAAATCATTTGGGGGCTCTGCAATAGTTCACTCGAAATATACATAATAGGTAATCTTTATGTTTGATATTGTGCTTAGCACTGAGCATAGAGTTGAAAAAAGTACATTCCTTCAGAAGCTTACACTACTTCAGTGCCAAATGAAGCAAAAATGATAACACAAATCCATATGGTTGGGTTATACCACTAAGCAGTAACCAAACAGTATC